GTTTTTTCTTTTCTTTTAAGAATTGCTTTAATCAAAGGAGAATTTTGGACCCTTAAATTGACTTTTTACTTTAAAATCCATTTATAATTTGTTTTTTAATTTTGCACGAATTGAGAATCTTTTTTCTCCCATTAAATAAAAAATGAATTTTCCTCTCTCTCCTTGTTCAAACTTCCTTGAGTCTGGATTAGCACGTAGCGCTTGATTCGGTAAGTCCTCTTTGATTATGTCGCCGGACAGTCAAAGCGTCCTCCCTGTTACCCATAACCGTCCCTAATCCTTTTGGGGATGGCCCCATTGAGTATGCGTATCCGTTGGGATCTCACGCGAAACTCCTTGTTTCACATGTGGTTATGGTTATCCAATGCTCTAATGGTTTTCAAGGGTCCCTTAATTAAGCCAATCCTCTATTTGTGTCAAATAGCCTATAAGAACCTATCCTTTAGGGCTGTTATCACCCAATGATGCCTGATCATTCATTAAAATGAATTATGTTGTGATGTTGTTGCGCATTCACGCATCATTCCATACTTCACAAAAAACAAGCGGTCTAGAAGAATGATAAAAAAGAGAATCTTAAAAAAAAAAACATTCCATTTCAAGTTGAAAAATCACATTTTGGTCCTGAGACCCTGAAAAATTACATTTTGGTCCCCTGAGACCTGGAAAAATAACATTTTGGTCCCTTGAGACAATGGAAAATTACGTTTGGCCACAAAGGCCCAAAAATTCACAATTTGGACCGCCTAAGGCCATAAAAATTCTTATTTGGGCCCCAAAGGCCCCAAAAATGCCGCAATTTGGCCACAAAGCCTAGAAGTTTCACATTTTGGGCCCCTAAAAGCCCAAAAAATTCTCAATTTGGCCACGAAGGCCCAAAAATTCTCAATTTGGGCCAAGGCCCCAAAAATGCCCAATTTTGGCCACCAAAGAACCCAAAAGTTCACATTTTGGCCCCTAAAAGCCCAAAAAAAAAAAATTTTTTTCTTGAGAACTAGGGCCTTACGAAAAGTCGAGGTGTTTCAGCCCTAAGCACTCTACCTTACATACAACATCCCATTGGGTTTCTACCTAGGTGTCTAGCATACCAACATTACCCTATCACACAAGGTCAAACCGTCCATCTCAACAGGGTCAAGTCCAAATACCTTACCCATACAGCTACCCTACTCACACTATCTCACCATACCCAATGGAAAAACACGCTTAATATAGGATAGTCTAATCGTTTTGACTATGTTTCCTTCAACAGGTACCCTCCAAAGACCACCTGTACCCACGAAACGGCCAACTGAGTTTCTCATCACAAGTCCAACAACCTAACCGCCAACCAATGGCAAATCACTTACTGACATCCAAAACCTCCATTGAACAACTGGAGGCTAGAATGGAGGTTAGAATGAAATGAGCATTGGCCGCCAAAGGACTGCCTAAATAGCTGAACCTAGGTGTTGGTAATGGAAATGGAGCTTTTCAGCGCGGGGGAAGCGGACCTGCTGCTCCAATCAGGGAACCCGGCGCTGCAAGCCCGACGTCCTCAAACCCTACCCTGGATGAATGCCCTCTGGAAACTGCTTCTGAGCTAGAAGCTCAGAAAATGGAGAGAACTGGAATTGTTGGGAAAAGTCCTATAGTCTATTAAACTGCCCTCAAGACACACAAGGAATGGTGGACATGGACTCCTTGTCCTTGTTCCCCGAAGCAAGATTACCTACAAAATTCAAGATGCCTAACATGGACAAGGTTTGACCGGAAACCACTTGTTCCCAAAATGCACCTGAAATGTATGTGGGTTGCCCATCAACCCGGTTTTGGCTTGAACAACCGACTCCTTGCTCAGTTGTTTCAGCAAATCTTTGACTGGTGCTTGCATTAAGGATGGTTGTGAGCTTGGATCGTTCCAAAAATAAGAATTGGGAGGGACAATATGGCAATGCTTTTCCCAACACGCAGTACCATTTATAATATTCGAGTGGATGTTACCAGAGGAGCTGGAACCACTAACAAAAGAATAATGGAGCCTTTCTTCCTCGTTCCTTTCGAGGTGGAAGACCAAAGCTGCCTCAAATGAATCAAACCGACCCATCTGAACAGAACAGTTGACCATCAATAATAAAGAATTTACTGTCTGTCTACCAGTCACTGTTCCAACACAGTACTTGCCTACGTTTCCAATCGCTTCATATGCGACTGCACTAAGTGGAGACTTAATCCAGTTGGGTCAACTCAAAGAAGACTCATACAGAGCAGAATCATGCTGGACTTTTTGAAAAACCGCCATACCAAGACCTGGTTTGCAATGGGTCCATCATCTCCAAGAGCAAGCTGAATATCAACCAATCCCCTTGCCTTAACCATGGGATTAATGGAAAAAAAAATTGCTGAACAAGAATCGTTCGATCCTTTCGAACTTTTCTCTTTAGAAATGAATGAAGTTTTGTGTCTGAGAAGGTTGAGATCAAACCTCCAACAAGAAAACAAAAGGAAATTGTTCAGACCAAACACCTGTCTGATCGATTTAGCATCAAAACGAAGAAAAACAAAGTCCCCACTACAGTCAATCCCAATCCTAGTCCATCACAGTCCACCTAGAGTCTATCTTTTAGGGTCTAGTTTTTTCTTTTCATTTTCATTCCATTCAAGTTTTCATTCAATTCAAAATTTGTTAATCTAAGTGGGTCTTTTGTCCAACAACTTTTGTCTTATCAATACAAAAGGGATCAGCTTACATTCCAATCATGTTTATACTCTTTTCCCTATCCTTCCTGTGAAAAAGCACAAAAAAAAAAAAAATGAAAAAAAAATAATAAAAAAATTAAAAAATAAATGATGTAAAAAAAAATTGGCAAAGAAAAATGCATTCCATTTGCTCTGCATCAATCAAAGCTGGGGGCATCCTAAGAAGCACCATTAAAAGGGGAAGTTTGAAGGGTTAATCATGGAAAGGATCTCAGCAAGGGTAACCGCAAGACTTCAACAATACCCAAGGCAAGAGCCGATTGAAACAGGGGTTTAAGGCCCAGAAATGGTTTCTCCAAAACCCAAGAATGGAAGCTGCTCCGACGAAAGGTGTCTGAATTTTTGAAGCTTAAAAGGCGACAAGAATAAAGAAGTTTTATGTTTTGGAATTGGGTTGGGTCCGCACGAAGTCGCAATACTAATCCATACACTCTCAAGTTCATCTCAGAATCAAGTTGCCTCGAAATTCTTTATGGAGAGGCTGCCTCTAAGCAAAGCAAAAAGGAAAAACGGGAGAAGGAACCCCGTCCAAGGAAGCAACAAGCAAAGAAAAACATGGGTCAAAAGGACTTCTTCTGCAACACAAGAAAGAATCAAGGCACAAAGCTAAGGAATCAAGTTTGTCAAAAACGGGTCAACTGCCAAGGCTCTTCATTAATTCAAGCCCATCAAGGGTAGGATGACAAATCAATTTCAGCCCATAAGGACAAGACCAAGCGCTGCCACATTTTGTGAAAAGCAGACAAAAATAAAAAGTTAACAAACAAGTCAATTTCACAAATTGGAATGACAACAAACACCTTTGAAACAAGTGCCAGGCCAATGGCACAAGTACAAGTGTCCCTTATAAACAAGGATCATTTCCTCAAAACAAGGAAAAGGAAGAGTCCTCCTCAAACATTCCTTATGGAGAGGAGACCCATTGAGGATAAGTTTCCAAACTCAGAAGAAGATAAGTTCAAGAAAAGGAATCAAATTAACCCTCAAGAATTCAAACATGGCGAAAGCCACAAACTCAAAGCATAAAAGCTTCTTCAACACCCAAGCAACTCAAGTTACCACACTTAATGGTGGGTAATTCAAAACTCTTTGTGAATGAATACAAGTCATTATTTCATTCAACCAGTGGTAAAACCACTACAACAAACACAGTCAGATTCGTCTAGGGTCATCACATCAAATACGAGCTCGAGTCAATAAGTTGATTCAACATCAATCAAGTCGGGGAATCCCGCAACGACATCACAGCGGGCCAGGATCCCGCGAAGAAATCGAGTCAGAAATGAATTCTGCATCATAACATCAAAGTCGGGAAGGGAATCTCAAAAAGACATCCAGTGCCGGGAAGGAATCACGCAAAGACAATCAACCAAGAAGGGAAATCCCGTGAAAAAAATCAAGTCAGAAAATGAATTCCCTGCTCAACATCAAGTCGGGAAGGAATCCCTC